CCCTGCTCCCCCCCCCGCACCCCCATGGTGGGTGGGGGTGACGCACAGAGTGGGGGGCTTCCCTGGGGGGGGCCCCGCTGTGAGCCCCGCGCCCCCCAGGCTGAAGCGCAAGAGGAGGAAGATGCGGCAGAGGTCCAAGTAGGCGCCGCGGGCCGGGGGGGCGGCGCCCGGCCCCCCCCACACACACACACCGCCGGTGTCACCGCGAGGAGCCGCCGCCGCCGCCCGGGTCCCAATAAAGGCTGTTCCGGTGGCAGCGCCTCCCGTGTCTGTGTGCGGGCTGCTGGGGGGGCTGCGCGGAGGGGCGGGGCGCACCGGGCGCACCGGGGGGACGGCAGCGAGGGCGCTGGAGGACCCAGCGGAGCGGGCCGTGACGTCGCCGTGACGTCGCCGTGACGTCGCCGTGACGTCGCCGTGACGCAAGAGCGCGGCCTCGTGCGCCGCCGGGAGCAGGCCGCCGCGCCTGCGCGCGCGCGCGGGGCACGCCGGGAGGAAGCGCTCTTCCCGCACGCACGCACGCTCCTTCCGGCGGCCTCGCCGGAAGTACCATAGAGAGGCGGCCGCCCGGCGCGGAAGGGCGGCCGGAAGGGGCCGCTCATTGTTGGCGCTGGAGGACCCGGCGGAGGCCGCGGAGCGGGTGAGTGCGAGGCCGGGCCCGGGGCAGCGGGCGGGGGGCGCTCCCCCCTCCCCCCCGCCCCCGTGCGGCGGTCACCGGGCCCGGCACCCCCGGGCGCCCCCCCGGCGCGGGCGGCGCCAGGAGCCCCACCGGGAGCGGGGCCGGGAGCGGGGCCGTGCAGCGGGGGACCGGGCCGGGCTTGGAACGGGAGTTGGAGCGGGACAAGGGACCGGGACCGGGCTTGGAGCTGGCTTTGGAGCTGGAGCTGGGGCAGCCCGACGAGGGCCACAGGCTGGGGCTGGGCTGGGCTTGGAACCGGGCCTGGCACCGGGTTTGGAGCCGGGGCTGGAGCTGGACTGGGGTTAGRGCCGGGCTCGGAACTGGAACTGGGAGGTGCTGGGACAAGGGGCTGGGATTGGGATTGGGACTGCAGCTGGAGCTGGGACTGGGACCGYGTTTGGAGCCGGGGCTGGTGCCAGAACCGGGTTTGGGGCCGAGTTTGGAGCAGGGCAGTGGCCAGAACCGGGTTGGAACTGGGGCTGGTACCGGAGCTGGGTTTGGGGCTGGGTTCGGAGCGGGGACTGGTGCTGAAGCTGGGTTTGGGGCCGGCTTTGAGGCTGGTGCTGGAGCCGGGTTTGGAGCGAGGGCTGGAACCGCAGCCGGGTTTAGGGCTGGGTTCGGAGCCGGGTTTGGAACCGGGGCTGGTACCAGCGCTGTGTTTGGGACTGGGTT